GCCTGTCAGCGATATATTTGGGGTGATGACTGAAAATTACCTTTGGGAAAATTGTGAACATGGATTCCATTCGGACACCATGTATATAAAGTAGTTTCTGGTAATTGTTTTTGGTTAGGAAAGTTAGTATATGTAAATGTTTCGTTTTTTCTTAGTTTTGTGAGACGTTGACTGAAAAACACTTAGTCACCGGAAGTTAACGGCATTCGTTATGTTTTCCGCGGTGACGCTTTTAACGGCAGTAACTTCGGCCGGGTGCGATATAGGGTCCTTCACCGGTGCTCCCAATAAAGTACACGCCAACATTATCACTAATTCATGTCTCTCCTTCAACCTGAGGGACACACAAATTAATGGCAACATCAGTAATCACCTTCGAGAGAAGCCTACTCCCGCCTACAAAAGATATCGAGTGAATATTTTACAACCCAGTTTGACGAAACTAAGTTTAACGTCAAACTGAACGAAACAACTCGCACTATGTTTACAGCTGGGAGATGGGAGACGGAAAAGATTACCTGTCAAAAAAAAAAAAAAAAAAAACTAAATAAATTAATGGAGGGGGGTCATCTCTGTTTCTCCAAATAAACAAAACACTATGAAAATATAAAAATACATTTTTATAGTAAAAAGAAAAAAAAACAAATAAACAATACCTATTTATAGTAAAATTACCAAAAATACATTTTTAAAGCAAACTGCTCCGCAATACATTTTATCTGCAGTTGAAGTCATACAATTGAGTTCAAAATATAATTAGCTGAAACCATAAAATTATTTACATTATTTGAATTGTTCGGACTGTCCCCATCTTTGCTATTATTCACGGCGTTTCGGCCGTTTTCTTTAGGTGATTGGAATTTCGAACTGAACCCTTTTATTTTCTCCACCGGGGTATATTCTCTGTTATCTCAACTCAAGTTTTTGTTCACCACTTCACTCACAACACTTTCGGTTAAGTCACTGGATCGAGCCAACGCTTTTATCCATCGGGCCATGTGTCCTTGAGGACATTAGTGTATTTTTTTTTTTTACTTATAAACCTAATGTCTCGATAATTATTTTTAGCAGAGCTCATATTGCAATGTTGTTATTGTTGATTTTCTTTAGCACTCCGTATTACTGGTTCCCATACGGTATTCATTTCTATGCTTGGCCGGCTGAGGATATTTTTGTGGTCTAGCATATGTGCTGATTCCTTAAGTTTACGTATTTTCCAGTGATGTTCTCCGTCTATTATTTCAACATCATACCACATGTCTCGCCCGATTTTACTATTTCCACGTCTTAGGTATGACGATAAACCACATCCGCGTCCTTGGTAAGACGATAAACTACGTCCAACAGTAAGGCCTCTGATCAGGAAGTTTTGAGGAGCGTGGATCCATCTCTTAATTGCTGGTGTTCCCAGGTCCACCCTGACCCGGACTGGTAGCACGTGTTAGGGTCCCAGCTATGGGCAAATAGTTAACCCCGAAGTTGAAGTAAAAAGCATTATAAAAGTGTAAAAATAGGTATTAATACCAGGATACTTCGTAAAAAATTATTACCAGAAATAAATTTTTGAAGAAAAAAAACTTACCAGCAATATAATTTTGAAAAAAAATATTTACAGCAATAAGTTTGAAAAAAAAAAAAAAAAAAAAAAGAAAGAGTTTTTATTACTAGAAATGGGTTTTTGGCAAAACAAAATATTACCAGAAAAAAAAAAGTTGTCGGCATTAAATAACCCATTGAGGTTGATATGCCGTAAACCAAACAAAGTTCTTTGGATTTGTTACTTCGTTTAATTATCCTTGCATTAAGTGTCGCGTGTCCACACGATGTCTATTTTTCCGTGTCGTGGTACCAAAAATCTGCTATCTGTCAGTGAATGACAACGAAGTTTCATGGAGTGCTGTGTATAATGAATTGAGCAGAATCGGTATTGAAGCAGGATGTCGATGTTTTGGGTATGACTATAAACTACATCCGACAGCAAGGCCTATGATCGGGAGGTTGGAGGTTTTGAGGAGCGTGGAACCACATCTTAATTGGTGTTGTTCGCAGGTCCACCCCGACCTGGGTTTGTAGCACCTGTTAGGGTCACAGCTATGGGAAAATAGTTAACCCCCTAAAGTGGAGGGGGGACACCATGAAAGTATAAAATAGATTTTTATGGTAAAAATACCAGCAATATATTTTTGAAAGAAAATATTACCAGCAATACATTTGTTTCTCGACAAAAACCCAATTTTAAAAAATACGGCAATGAAACCTGATCTACAAATTGAATTCTTATAATGAATCCATTTTCTATTCATACCTAAAAGTCTATCCTAATAATTTTATCGGCATTAAATAATCTATTATACCGTAAAACTAAATAAACCAATAAATCGAACCGTTTCCTCATTTTTTACTGTCCGACACAAAGAGTTTCACTCTCGGATAATCTGGTGGGGGGCAGTTTTCATATGTCGCTGATGTACTTGGAATTCCTATATTCCTTGTATACTGCTGTTGAAATTTAAAGCAAATTTTAGTCCAGTGTCCCTCTCCACCCAAAAATTTGCGTCTTGGGTATGACGATAAACTACATCTGCGTCCTGGTTAAGACGATAAACTACGTCCAACAGCAAGGCCAATGATAAAAAATATTACCAGCAATACATTTTTGGAAAAAAATATTACCAACAATAAAAATTTTATCGGCATTAAATAACCCATTGAGGTTGATATGCCGTAAAACAAACCAAACCAAACCACCCAATATTAACTCTGCGATTAAACTATTAAATTCTGTTCACCTCCTATGGATGTCAGTTCGTAGCATAGCTACACTACCTCTTTATCATATAGATATTATCTGACAGATTAAATGTCTATAAATCGAAGGACAAAATCATCCACTTTGCTCTTGTGGAAAATCCGAAAGTAGGCTTGGTAAAAGTGGAGGATTAATGTTTTTCGCTTAGCTTTCCGATGTATTTAATTCCATTCCATATTCAGTTTAACATTTCTGCACAACTGTTGCAAGGGATTGCTTTTCTTCAATCGGATATTGCGCATAAGAGCCACCTCTGAATCTTCTTTTCTCGGTCATATCTTTGAAATTAATTTAAAATGACCAGTAGTTGAAATCATAAAATGGTGTTCAAAATATTTAGATTTCGTCATTAAATAACCCGTAGAGGTTGATATGCCGCTAAACAAAATCAACCAGTGACCAGGAAAGCCAGTTCGTCCTGGGTATGACGATAAACTACATCCGCATCCTGGGTAAGACGGTAAACTGCGTCCAACAGACCTCTGATCAAGAGGTTTTGAGCGTGGAACCACCTCTTAATTGCTGGTGTTCTCGTGTCCACCTATTAGGGCCTCGGCTATGGGCAAATAGTTAATACCCAAACTTGTATAAAAATAGGTTTAATAATTTTTGAAGGAAAAATTATTAACAGCAATACTTAAAAAAAATAACATCAATACAAACAGCTATACATTCTTTGAAAAAAATATTACCAGCTATAAATTTCTTCAAGGAAAAATATTCCCAGAAATAGATTTTTGAAGGAAAACATTACCAGCAGTAAAAATTTTGTCGGCATTAAATAACCCATTGTGCTTGATATGCCGTAAGACAATCCAAAACAAACCAGGAAAGCCGGTACGTTAAATGACTTAAATATTTTGATGTGAATAGGATTAAGTTTTAGAATGAAATTATAACTTGAAGTTTTTAAAAGCAGAGCCAGAGCACGATTGTTACAGACTTAAGATCAATAACCAAACTTCTCGTTTAGAAGTTTGGTAATATTTAGTGTTAACCAAATTTTTTAATCCTATTAGGTTTCGGTCCTCTCTCCTTAAAAAAAAATCTGAAGAGTCAATACAATTCAATGTTGGACTTGGGTACTTTTTCCGCTAAGCTCTTCAAATATTCTAAACTGAAGTGAAATATTCTAACAAAAACTTTCAACAAATTCCACTTAAAATCAAAGAATTTGCTAGTTCATAACCAAAGAAATATCGTGTACAGAAATAATTTTTAAACATTTTTTTCTATCTTACTTTAGCTGCACTAACTTTCCCGTTTTTCAACCCAGGAGAAATACGGGGTGGTAGCACCAGTTAAGGTCCAAGTTATGGGCAGTTAACTGCCAAACTGGGGTCAAAGCACCATGAAAATATAAAATAGATTTTTATAGTTAAAATACCAGTAATACATTTTTGAAAGAAAAAAAATTACCAGCAATACATTTGACTCAAAAAAAAACCCCTTTTTACAAAAAATACGTCAATGAAACCTGATCTACAAACTGATTTTTTTTTTTATAAATAATACATATATACATACGATTCTATACTAACTTGGCGTCCCGGGTAAGACGATAAACTACATCCAACAGCAAGATCTCTGATCAGGAGGCTTTGTGGAGCTTAGAACCACCTTTTAATTGCTGGTGTTCCCAGGTCCACTCTGACTCTGGGTGGTAGCACCTGTTAGGGTCCCAACTATGGGCAAATAGTTAACCCACAAACTGGGTTTAAACCCCTTCAATACATTTTTGTAAATAATTATTACCAGCAATACATTTTTGAAAAAAAATATTACCAACAATAAAAATCTTGTCAACATTGAATAATCCGTTGAGGTTGATATGGCGTAAAACTAAATAAAACGATAAACCAAACCCGGGAGAAATACGTAATCGATGCAGATCAATAATTCTATCTTCGAATCTGATATATACTTGGATTCTGAATCCACAGGATCCATCAAATAATTTGAGGGGAAACCTCGTTAGTTTCAACTTTCATTCTCCATTTAACTCGTCAATTTATTAATCGATGCTATTTAAATGACAAATCTTTTACAAGGAATCAACATTTATTAATGTTAATGAAATTTCTTAGCAATGCGTGGATTAATTCTATTTTAGAACATTCATCATATAGTCTGCTGTTTCTCTCATTTTTAACATTTTCACTGAATCCATGTAATGATTGTGCGTACTTACCAATTCTGTTATGAAGCAGTTTTCTTTGATCATTTCACACAAGGCTAGTCCTCCGGAACGGCTGAGGTTATTGTCTGTCAAATCCAATTTTTGTATATGGCAGCTGGTCTGCAAATAGTCAGATCATATCAGGCAAATCCGACATTTGTAAGTGCATGTCTCTGAACCATGAAAATTAAATTGGTCCAATCTTCTTTAAGAGTACCCCGACTTTTATTTTTACTCCATTACCGAAAATCTACTCTGAATCGTGAACTCCTTCAAGTTCTAAACAGAAATTACTGATTTCAAAAATATAATGGAAAAAAAGAAATTAATAACAAGTCTTATGATTTAAAATAACATTTTTACTGTTTGAATACAATACTTTATTTAAAAAAAAAAAAAATTTCTGCATTAAATGACCCACTGAGGTTGATGTGCTGTAAAACAAACCAAACTTCTCTGAATCGTAAAATAAAAAAGGCAATAAAACTAAGACTTTATTTAATTAGAAATGTTTTTAATTGCTTTAATGAGTAAGATATATTATGGACACTATTGTCTTAAATTCCTTTCGATGAATAATGATTTTTTAAAAAATTTAAGTCTAATAATTTATAAATTCCAGAACTTACCGCAATAGTTGGTGTCACGGCCCTCGATCCTCTACTTCCAAGGCCATGATAGCGAAGATCAAGCTCCTTGTCTTGCATATGACGGAGAAAGTAACTAATTGGTGTAACGCCCAATTGCCGACATCGGTTAATATAGGACGAACGTCCGGAATGATCGTAAGGTTCTTTCGTATCTATAAAAAAAAAAAAATCAATGGAGTAATGTAGTTTCTCGCTTTACGTTTTATAAATAGTGTATTGTTAACTTGGCAGTTGTCGATACAAATCTTAGTATGATGATAAACTACATCCGACAACAGCAGTTGTTCCAGGTCCACCCTGACCAGAGGTAGTAGCAAATGTTGGTGTCCCAGCTATGAATAAATAGTGAACCTCCTAAAACAAAACACCATGAAATATTCCGTCCTGGGTATGACGATAAACTACATCCGTCCTTGAGTAAGACGATAAACTACGTCCAACAGCAAGGCCTCTGATCAGGAGTTTTTGAGGAGCGTGGAACCACCTCTTAATTGCTGGTGTTCTCAGCTCCGCCCTGACCCGGAGTAGTAGCACCTGTTAGGGTCACAACTATGGGCAAATAGTTAACCCCCAAAATGGAGTCAAAACACTATGAAAGTGTAAAAATAGGTTTTAATACCAGAAATACTTTGTAAAAAAATTATTACCCGCTGTACATCTTGGGAAAATTTGAAAAAAATATTGCCAGCAATAAAAATAACCCAATGAGGTTGATATACCGTAAACTAAACCAAACAAACTCTGTCGGATGACCGTGTTGCTTGAATCGGCTAAAGAGCTGTTCTCTGTGCCGCTTCTTGAACTCAGCTGCATTCATTTAAATAATTGAGCGACTCTGGGCCGTTTAGCAATAAATGCAGTCGCCAGTCAACCTCTTCCAGCTGTACAGTAGGTTAAGACCTCCCCTCAATGAGGAAGTCCTGGATATGACTACAAACTACATCCGGAAGGAATTCATGTTAGGAAAAAATATTAGTCGACATTAAGTAATCCACTTAAGTTGATATGCCACAGAACAAACAAAGATGTCTCCCTCTATCTATATAATTCCATCAATAAAAAAATATTACACATATAATAATAAAAAAAAAAGTTCTATGATCTCTTAGTGAGCTCCAAAGCAATCTTTCTTCCTCCGATACAACGTGTTCGTGTCATACGCGTGCATATTCTTGAAGACAGCCAGATAAACATCTTACGACGATTAAAACTCTGAATACGAAGTAATGTTGAACGGCAGCTTTAATAACTAAAAGGATAAAACTGGTGGTTAAATTTGCTGTCATGCTTTTCAGGGTTTCCGATAATATACTAAGGGCTAACCGGAAGTGGTCGAAACTGACCAATCTAAAACGTTTCAAACTACAAAGAGTAAAACGATACAGTCTCTGATACTGGGTTAAAAGACCCAAAAGATTGTGTTCTGTTAACCCAGTACAGTCTTTATAAAAAGATACTGTCGTTACTTTGGCCTCGCAATGGATTATCAAATAAATGATGCATTAATGTATGAAGCAGGCATATACATCCATACCTTAATTTTCATAATTAGCCAGCATAATTTTAATAGGTGGCTAACTATAACAGAACTTATATTTCGTATGAACTGAGTGCGTTTTGATAATCTGTAGTGAATTCTACTAAACCTGAGCGTCCTGGGTAAGGCGATAAACTACATCCGCGTCCTGGGTAAGGCGATAAACTACATCCGCGTCCTGGGTAAGGCGATAAACTACATCCGCGTCCTGGGTAAGGCGATAAACTACATCCGCGTCCTGGGTAAGGCGATAAACTACATCCGCGTCCTGGGTAAGGCGATAAACTACATCCGCGTCCTGGGTAAGGCGATAAACTACATCCAACAGCAAGGCCTCAGATAATGTTTTCGATAAAAAATCCAAAGGTTTGCCCAGATAATGTTTTTGAAAATAATGTTTGCCAGCTGTACGTTTTTTTATTCCATACAAAATAGGCATTTAAAATTCATATAAACTGGATTTGGCATTAAATAACCAACAGTGGTTGATATGCCATAAAACCCAAACAAACAAATCTACTAAACCTGAACCAATTATTACAGAATAGAAAACTGTTTGAAAAATACTGAACCAGGCGAATTTTTAGTTTGTAAACTGTCCTTTTATAATATTCTCATCTGAAGGCATCGCTTTCTCGTCCGATCGCACGGCTTGCAAGAATTCCCGTGACTCTCTTGTTCCATCCGCTTCTGTTGTTCATCCCTATTCAGCAAGCCAGACAGATTGCAGTTTGTCGTCACAAAACTACTTGGTAAAGGTCTTAACTTGTTCTCTATTAGCTCTTCCATGTGTGGGTTCCCACAAAAGAACTTAGTCTTTAGTTCTCCGGCATTACACTGAGAATCTGACTCTGCGTTCGATGATGTCGTCTGATACTGGATGAAGGTTCCCATAAAATGCTGTTTCTCATAGTGTTGCTGATGATCAGGATCACCAAGCTCTATCAATAGACTGCAACGCATCCATGGTTTTATAATCGACTAATGATAGATTTATAAGGATCAAAGTTCCCTTCGTGACATATGTTTGATACAGTTTTGAGTTTTGTTTGACTATTTGTCTTTATGCAAAGAGGTTGATGTGCTGCTAAACAAAATCAATCATCTTTATGCAAGATACACAAAGTAAATGAATAAAGAAATTTAAAATAGAATGTCTTTCTAATCTAAGTGTTCTTGTTCAATCACATAAGTTAAGCAGTGTCAAACCTGGTTAGTACTTAGATGGGAGAACACTTCGGAACATGAGGTACCGTTAACAACCTCTTAAAATTCAAAATATTTTGGCTTTAAATAACCCACATAACTGATACGATTTAAGAAAAAATTGATCTCCCTCCCTCATTAAGCATTGAAACCTCTGACAAAAACGGTTTCCTTTACTCTCAGCTAATTCAATATTTTCCAATCCAACTATGGACAAACAGTTAACCCTCAAAGTGGGGTCAAAACACCATGAAAGTGTAATAACAGGCTTTAATACCAGAAATACTTTGTAGAAAAAAAAATACCAGGAATACATGTTTGAAAAGTTACCAGGAATAAAAATGTCGTCATTAAATAATCCATTGAGGTTGATATTCCGTAAACCAAACCATGAAATATAAAATATTTTTTTAAATAAAATAACCAACAATACGTTTTATCTGTAGTTGAAGGCATACAATTGCGTTCCAAATATACTTAGTTGAGGTCATACAACTGGCAACTGCTGACGAGTTTTTCCGTGATGCACGACTACAAGAGTTAAGCGTGCTACTAAATTGGCATCTAGGTCCCACGCTTTTACTGTTGAAATAGTTAAGTGGAACCGCCACTTCTACTCCAAGAGTTTCTTTTCTCGCATTTCCCGACAGTGGAACTCCCTTCCTCTTACTTGCTTCTCTGATAACTACAATTTTCAAAAATGTAAATGCAACGTCAATCACCATCTTTAATCCCGTTTAGCTTTAATCCTTTCCTCAATCCCCCCCCTATACCCGGTTCTTTCTCTCACTTTCATTCTCTGTGACACTCCTGCACACTAGTAGGTTTTGAGAAGCGTGGAACCACCTCTTAATTGCTGGTGTTCCCAGGTCCACCCTAACCCGGGGTGGTAGCACCTGTTAGGGGGGCCCAGCTATGGGCAAATAGTTAACCCCGAAACTGAGGTAAAAAGTATTATAAAATATTACCAGCAATGCGTTTTTGATGAAAAAGTACTGGTACTAGCTGTACGTTTTTGAAAAAATAATGGTACCAGCTGTACGTTTTTGGGGAAAAAAATATTACCAGGAAAATAAGTTGTCGGCATTAAATGACCCATTGAGGTTGATATGCCGTAAAACAAACCAAACCTGCCCACTAGAGGCACCCCGCCTTGCTTTGAGTGAAATGATTAAAAAAAAACAAAAAAAAACGGCAATCCACACAAATCTTGTGAGAACACATCTCTTTTCGTTTATGAAGAGGGTCTATAATTCAAAATATGAGTTTCTTGGATATTTGTTGTTCGGAAATTCTAGTAATAGATTAGAATTGATGTTAATGGCAATTAATTTAAAAAGTCTAACACTGAAAATATTTCATACAAGATTTATATTTCAGTTCTGGTTGATACGCTCCACCTTTACAAAAACTTCATTCTACAATGAATGACTCAACATGGATTGAAATGTCGTTAAATCGACTTAACCCATCTAATATCTGGCAGTTTGCAGTTAATATGATCTAATATGTCAAAGGCTATAATTTGTGCGCAGGGACACTTTGTAGATGTATCCGAGGTAAAAAGAAGGCAATTAATTCTTCAAGAAGCCAGGGAGTCGAGCAGTCTACCTGCAGGGTGGTCGCTATTACTCTACGAGTTGACCATCAAAACAATGGCTGTCAGGATCAAGCTGATTTTTGTTATAATAAATTCTCTGTAAATATACATTTGCCTTTTTAATCATAACCTGTGACTTTCGGGTTTTCCTATGGTGTAGGAAGACTTCCTTCAACGCAGAAGGTTGGTCTGCCGTGAATTATGTGGTCTGGAATAATCACTTTTGACACCCGTGTGAACTGCCACAAGAATACCAATAAGTAATATAATTTCAATAATATATGTAGTGCTGAAAAGTTCTCGAGCTGACCCACTTCTAATCTGACAAGACGTTTAAAAACGAACTTGATATTTTTTTTTTACTTATCCGCTTAAAATACTACCAAATAATAAACTTAAAAGAACTTAAAAAAAAAATATATACTGATTTAAGAAGCCAGATCAGGCCAAGAATAGTATTGTTGTCATACTTGGGCTGAAGCTGCCCAGACCTCACTTTCCAGTTTTGATAGTCCTAAAGCGTCTCAGAGTTCTTGTGAGTGAATTATTTTCTACCTTCCAACCACTCTATCTCCCAGCGGGATGTAGCAAGCTTATCGGTACTCTATTGCTAGTAATACGGAAAGTGCTCGGACGAACTACGTTCCTTGGTCCATTCAGGCTTAACTTTCACGGCAAGGACCCGCCATTCTATTTACATAGTAGCAAACGACTCGCATTCACTTCGAGAAGTAATTTTCACTCGAACAGATTCTTCCCACGAATCTCTTCTTTGTGGAGCTGACGTCCAAGAGGATGTTTCCCCGATCGCTAAAATCTTCACCTGTTCAAGACTAGGGTTAACCGTTACCTTCCTCAGTTATCCGTACAACGTGCCTCCTAACGTAACCCTCTACCTCGAGTGGCTTTGTACATGGTGAATCTTATTATAAAAAAAATTACACATTCCAGTTTGGGTAAGACGATAAACTACGTCCAACAGCAAGGCGTCTGATAATGCGTTTTTGAGAAAATAATGTTGCCAGCTGTATGTTTTTGAAAAAGAATTATTACTAACTATACGTTTTTTGAAAAAAAAAAATTACAAACTCTACGTTTTTGAAAATAAAAAAAATTACCAGCTATACGTTTTTGAAAAAAAAATTACCTGCTATACATTTTTTAAAAAATATTACCAGCTATACATTTTTGAGAAAAAAATATTAACAGAAATGGATTTTTGACAAAACAAAAATATTACCTGGAAAAAAAGTTGTCGGCATTAAATGACCAATTGAGGTTGATATGCCGTAAAACAAAACACATTCCAGTTTCTAAAAGAAATTAAACTGGAAGAAAAAACACCAAGGGTTTCTGGATACGCTGACTGCATCACTGCAGGCGAGTAAAGACCAATGAGACCACCTGTTTGCAGTGAGTAGTGACTCGTAATGTGTGGGGACGGGATCCTGGTGGTTGAAGTCTTTAGGAGTCAGGGTCAGATACTTCTGATTCCCAGCACACCACTTTGGCCCTTACTTGGACTAGAAGGGCGGTAAGAGAGGCCCCATCTTATCAACCCGGTGGTCATGCCAAGCCCTAGCACCTATGACTATATCAATTTATGGAGTCCAAAATCAAAAAAAGCTTCCCCCATGAAAGACTGAACACTTTGAAGGGAATCATTAAAAGCAGAGCTGTCTCTGACCACACCTGAGGAAATCAGATCTGCCTTAGGAATCCGGGGAGGGGGTGTCAGTGATTACCATAGAATCACAATAGAAAATGAAAGGAAAAACTAAGAAACGTATATCCTTATTTTGTCCCACTTCAAATCCCTAGAAATATAAAAGTCTGGTACAATATTGAGCTAGTGGGACAATATATTCCTGCTCCACTAAGGTGATTCAAGTGTCAAAAATTTGGGCATCATAGGGATAGCTGCAGGAGTCTCCCAACATGTGGAAAATGTGGCTAAAGTGATTCAGACTACACGGAAGAAGAATGCCACTATGAAGTAAGATGTGCTAACTGCCAGGAAAACCATCCGGCATATTCACGATCATGTGACTTCTGGAAAAGGAGATAGTCAAGGAGAAGCACAAACGAAATGTCTCATTCGTGGAGGCAAAGCAAATTGTAAAAAGCTACATGAAATGCTGTTCCTATGCAAAAATAACGCAAGGAAGGATCATAACGAATACCAGTCAACCTAACAAATACAGAGCCCATATTCAAGATCGTTCATTTAGAACCAAAATGACTGACCCAAATTTCAGAACTACATGAAGAAAATATACTCCAAGGAGATAGTGCAGATTGAAATAAAAGCCAATGAAAGAATTGAAATAATAAAGAAAGAAAAAACGAACACACAATTTGCCGCTCAAACACAAACCACTCCTACAAAGCAAAGGTCACTGCGGTCTCCTCTCCGTCCACCAAAAAACAACAAATATAGACTTATCTCTCAAAGAACAATTTGGAGTTGTACAGGGACAAACCAAAGGGGAAGTACCTTAGAAATAATAATTTATAACGATTTATGCATTTATAATGATAAAACCCAGACTTGCATAAATTCATTTTTGGCAGCTAGTCAGCAAAAGACTTATACTTATGTGACCCATCAATTTGCATGGATTTCTCTTGGAAGGTACTGACAGGCACATGCCGTAGCGATCACTTGCCAATCGTACTACAAAAACTCAGAATATAATGACAAAAATCCTCTCCGTTGGAAATTAGGCGGAGCAAACTGGGAAGAATTTAAAAACCAATGTTCTGAAATCTACTCGGAGGAAAAAGCATCAAGAACTTAACACATTTCATGGAAATCCTCATCTCTATAGCTAAAAAATGCATTCCAAAATGATCAGCACCAAAAAAACGCAACTGACCTTGGTTCAATGATAAATGTAAAAAAAAAAAGCCATCAGGCTAAGAATAGCAACTCTGAGAGAATTTAACAAGCAACCTACAACCTCCAATTTGTTGCAATTTAAGCAACTCCAAGCAAAAACACGGGAAGTAAAGAAAGCAAAAAAGAATCCTGAAAAAACTAGAACAGACTCAATTCTGCTACAAAAACAAAATCTATCTGGAATATGATAGCAGGCAAATTCCAAATAAACACTGTAAAACACCTCTCGGTAAATAACTCTAAAATAACAAGTAAAGAGGATATCGCTGAACAATTAACCAAAACAATCTCTAAAAATTCGTCTGCCAAGAATGTTGGCTAATAAGTTCTAAAGTTCAAACAAGAAGCGGAAGAACAAAAATTGAACTTTAAATCAAATAACTACCATTCACTCTAGAGGAACTAAATGACTGTTTAAAGAAAGCCCACAATAGTTTCATAAAGCAGTTTCTCAAACTAACATTACAACTGTTATTAAGAATGTATAATAACATATGGACAAATGCCAATCCCTCCCCGCCAAAAAAAAAATGTGGAGACAGTCATTCATCATCCCTATTCCAAAAGATGGAAAGGATGACACAGACCCTGAAAACTACATACCGAGAGCATTAACCAATTGTCTATGTAACACTATGGAGAGAATGGTGAACAATATGGTGACTTGGTATCTGGGGACTAAAGACTTCATCAGCGACTTCCAATGTGCTTTTAGTTAATTAAGTATCTTGATCACTTAATACGCTTAGAAACTTTTGTAATGGCAGCCTTCATTAAGAAGGAACATCTAACGGCAGTCCCTTTCGACTTACCAATTTTCCATACGCCTTTCGTATCTTTTAAAACCGGCATAAACTGAGCCTAAAGGGAAGGCTGACTCAATTCATAGAGAATTTCCTGGAAAACCGAAGATTTAAAGTCCATACAGGAACTACGCTACCGGAACTGCAAAATCAAAAATGGTTCCACAAGGAAACATTTTTTCGATGACCCTATTTTTCGTCCGTCCTGGGTATGACGATAAACTACATCCGCGTTCAACAGCAAGGCCTCTGATCAGAGTGTGGAACTGCCTCTTAATTGCTGGTGTTTCCAGGTTTACTCTGACCCGGAGTGGTAGCACTTGTTAGGGTCCAAGCTATGTGTAAATAGTTATCCTCTAAACTGGGGTCAAAACGCTATGAAAGTGTAAAAACATGTTTTAATACCAGAAATATAAAAAAAAAAAAAAAAAAATTACCAGCAATACATTTTTGAAAAAAAAAAAAATTACCAGCAATAAAAATTGTCATTGTCGGCATTAAATAACCGATTGAGACTGATATGCCGTAAAACAAATCAAACCAAACCTCCATACTTATGAAGGCATAGTTAAAAGCCTTCTGCGTGTGCTAGCTTAAATGCCGCCCGATAGGGCGGATTGTAAGCTAGTAACATAATATTGGGGGGGGTACTTTTTTCATCTTTTCCACTAACTTACAGAAATAGATTTCTACCAACACATGAACCACATGTGGTATTTTAATCTTTAACACGCAGCTCGTGGGAATACGGTTAGTCTGAAAATATAAAATTATGTACAAAATATTTGTAGTTGTGGGCCCTTCGATGTGGTGTAATGGCTAGCAAGTTTGTCACAAGATCAAGATCGACTGAGTAGCGAGTTCAATCCTCACTGGGTGCTTCATACATTCGGTCTTGTGCCATATCTAAGTTACGCTTAGAAAATCACCATTTACTTGAAGCTGTAAAATTGGGATCTGAATGTTTAGATTTCGTCATTAAATAGTCCACAGAGGGTGATATGCCGCTAAACAAAATCAACCAAACCATTCTTCTCAGTTGATGGACTTTTGTTTTTTATTTGTTTAGATTAGCTTGAATGGATAGGAATTGAGGTGTTTTCATGGGTCGTGGCATAGTTTTCTTGACAGTGACCTCATCAGCTACCATTGTTAGTGCCAGCCAATTTTAAAGAACCCATCCGAAACTTATGCACTGCTTTATAAGTTCACGTGAATGCAACTTACCTTCTGCTTCAAGGTCTGTGTCCCAAACAGAATCGTCAAAAATATCCAATGTGACAACTTCGCTTTCTGACGTAATTTCCTTTTGCTGTTCTGAGCCACACTCGCTTCCGCCAGATTTCTTCAAAGAGCTTTGGTCTGTATTCGAACTTGCAGAACGAGATTTCCTTTGACCACTGCGGCTCATCGTCTAAACAACAAAATAAAAACAATCTTCAATAATTTGTAAAAACCCTAAAAGTTTCTCTATCTACAATCTCTCTTTGCAATAAGCAATTTGTGAAAGATTTCCTCTAAATCTCTTCCTAACTCGTGAGAATATTCAAATATTAAGTGTTAGTGTTAAAATATCCATGGATCTGCTCTAGAAATTGTCTCCAGTGAGTGAGGACGAAAATTAAATTCTTAAAAATAACAGGAGCCGATTTGAAACAGCATTCTAGGAACATCCACCGATCTCTTCGAAGTGATATCCATTCTCAAAAAGTAGAAACGAAGATACGGATGATCCGAAAGGAAATATACTTTATCCTGGCTACTCACCAGTTAAGTTATACCCAGAATTTGTAGCATGTCAAGAACTTTACAACGCCCTGGGTATTGACGATAAACTTCATCTGACAGCAAGGACAATGATCAGGAGGGTTTTTTTTCTGTTCCCAGGTCCACCCGGAGTGTTAGCACCTGTTAGTGTCCCAGCTATGGGCAAATAGTTTATCGTCTTACCCAGGACAACCCAGTTTAGGAGTCAACTATGTCCAACAGCAAAGCCTCTGATCAGAAGGTTTTGAGGAGCGTGGATCCATCTCTTAATTTCTGGTTTTCCCAGGTCCACCCAAACACGAGGTGGTAGTACCTGTTAGGGTCCCAGCGGCATTAAAGTTAACCCAAATTGAGGTAAAGACAATATTGCTGTAAAATAGGTTTTAATACCAGAAATACTAAAAAACATTATTACCAGCAATACTTTCTTGGAAAAAATTATTACCAGCAATGCATTTTTGATAAAACAAAATATTAGCAACAATAAAAATCTTGTCGGCATTAAATGACCCATTGAGGTTGATATGCTGTAAAACAAGTCAAACTAAGAACTTTACACGGTGAACCACTTACTGATCTCGCCCTGTCAGCTGGGGCTGTAGAATACGCCGACTGCAACTGCACATGAGAACGCCCCCCTCCCCAAATGAGGATATCTGTTTGCTGTATAAGTGGTCATCTGACGGGCAACACTCTTTATATCTGCTAGACAGGCAATCGGAGAGTCCCGATCCGTCAATCAGCTGGTCATGTCAAACCCTATCACCTATGTCTCACAAACTGATCACATAGCGATCTAACATCCAACCTTTTATTTTAAAAGTGCTAGGAGGCGGTGACTGAGTCACTCGAGTCGAAAAAAAATCTTTGGCAACTGTTTCAAATTAAGGCGTCAGAATTTTTTTTTTTTGGGGTGGGGTACTGTAGCTCAAAATTAACAGGAACTCTCAACCAAAGCGAATGGGCTTGATGCCATGGTAAATTTTCAGTAATAATTGGACTCCATGGTGCGTGAGGGAGCGCAGGACAAATGAAACAAAATCAAATGGTAAACCTCAATGAAAAACAAATCTCACTGATTCAGAAATAGAATTCACAACAGATTTCCCAAGATCTATAGTAATATAATCACTGGAGGAAATTCCTCTGGTCAATCTGTTAACATTTTTGATTGAAAAAGTCATTAATAGCAGAGAAAGTCCACGAACAATGAGGAAATCGAGAGGTGGCAACCGACTGATGAAAGTCAACAAAAAAAAAAAAAAAAAAAAAAAGGGAAAGGGTAATATTACACTAAAAATGAAGTCCCGTCCTGTGTATGACGATAAATTACACCCGCGACCTGGGTAAGACGATAAATTACGTCCAACAGCAAGGCCTCTGATCAGGAGGTTTTGAGGAGCGTGAATCCATCTCTTAATTGCTGGTGTTCCCAGGTCCACCCTGACATGGGGTGGTAGCACCTGTTAGGGTTCCAGCTATGTGCAAATAGTTAACCCCCAAACCGGGGTCAAAACATTATGAAAGTGTAAAAAAAAAAAAAAAAAGGTTTTAATACCAGAATTTTTTTTTTTTTTTTTTTTTTAAATTATTACCCGCAATACATTTTTGGAAAAAAAATATTACTAACAATAAAAATCTTGTCAACATTAAGTAACCTATTGAGGTTGATATACCGTAAACCAAACCAAAAATGAAGTCTTTCCATAATTTAAATTGTAAAGTGTATCCACATAAGCCCGGACACATGGAATGGTCAGAAATAAAGACCACTGCCTAATAAGAATTAGATGCAACCTTGGGAGATTGACTTATTAACTGAAGAAGGATAAAAAAGGACATCAACAAATCTCAACATATAATACATATATGTATAAAGCGAACGATACCGTACTTCCTCGAAGAAACATAAAAAGAAAGAATTATCAAACATATCAACTTCTGATAAGGAATTCTAATCATAAACAAAAAAAAAAATGAGATCTCATTAACGATGAGAACATCTACGAAAACAAAGCTACAAAAGAAACACAAAAATTCACAAGTGATATTAAAAAGCTAATAAAAAACTGAAGACTCCTCATGGCTAAAAAATATTAAACCCATCTCAAAACACACATATTATACAGACTACCAAAAAACATAAACCGAACATTCCAATGAAACTAATCATATCAGGTACAGGCAGTGTCCTCACATAAACTTGACGGCACACTAAGCAAAATCTTAATCCCACTCCTCGGCATTATTAGTTCATCATACATAAAAAAAATTCACGTGACTTCCAATACAAATTAAACAGATATCAAAAACAAATATATGGCTAGTTTAAACAAAAAATCTCTATACACAAACGTCACTATAGAAAATGTCTAAATCTACTAAAAACATACTTAACAAATTAAATTACCTCTATCTACACATAAAATCATAAAAAATATGCCTGCTAATCACCAAGCAATGTTTCTTTACTTTTGATAACCACCTCTATAGACAAAAATTTGTTTACCAATGAGATCTCTCAGCGGTGTTCTTGCTTCTCTATTTTTAGAGTTTCTAGAAAGTGCCCCATTCAAAAACATTCTACCTCCAAACTATTCCTATTTCAGACACCTCATTATTAATAGATCTACAAAATACTAATTTAACAGATCTTGTCAACCAACTTACCAACGTTGAACCTACAATAGACTTCACATTTGAAAGTGAAACTAACTACTCTCTTCCCTTTCTAGATATGTTACACAAAAACAATAAGAAACTTAGCTTTTCTATAAGCGTCAAAATTATAAAAAAAAAAAATGATCTGGTCAGCTTCTACTCAAACCATTCCTCTAAAATTAAATATGATATAATTATAGGTTTCTTTTTAAGAGTATTGCAGAATTTTCAATATTTACCCAAAGAAACATACATAGAAACCACATTCGAAAACTTACAATATACCCATCACTTCATCCACAATGCAAGAAGAAAGGCATACAAAGTATACAATCGCAACAAAAATATCATCATTCATAATAATAAATTATGCAAGAACGGATACATAATACTACCGACCAATTCCGTATCGTTCACTAACCAGAACAACCTTTCCCATCTAAACAACATCTAAATAACCACAACTACTTCCAACACTATGGATATAATCAGATGTACAAACATCCATAACAATATTTCAGTAGCAGGGATATATAAAATAAATTGCCAAAACTGTTCCTCACAATACATTGGAGGAACACGCAGAAATAAAACAATCTATGAACACAAAAATGACCTCATAAATAACGATTTGACAAATGCACTTGTCATACATAGAAATAAATTCAACCCCAATTTTGATTTCAAAAAATGCTACAATCATAAAAAAGAATTTACTCAGAAGAAAATTCCTCGAGAGTCGCCATTGAATATTAAAAGTCCAAATATTAATCTACGCCCCAGTTTATTCCATCCTGATCTTTCCCAAGCCAACATACACAACAAAAATGTCAAGAAATGAAAAGAAAACAGTTGACGCAGTCTTCACAAGAATCCAAACAATATTTCTACATGTGAAAAATTCTCTTCAAACATAAAAAGTAAATGACGTAATTTTTCATTTGACCAAATGAATATATGAGTTTCAAAACTCTTTTGGTAACTAACTGTTGTAATGGAATGTCCCACACTCCCTATCACCTCTGTGGGCTGAGTAGCTATATATAGTGAGCACAGGATATACCTGGGGGCTTGCTTTGGCAATTAGTCGGAGATGCGTCTCTAGTTAAGCTCGTCGAACTCTTTGCCTTCGGGCGGTGAGGAACCCAGACGAGGCTATGCCGAAGGGCAGTCTCTCGTCTGGGGTGGTAGACAGCTACCCGACCCAGTGTATACGGGGTCTACGGGGAATTTTTGCCAGAGCCTACAGGCTTGGTTTTGCCTCGCATTAAAATGCGCCATTGTGCCACATCTTTCCTCGCGGGGAGGTAAGGTAAATAACCTTACTTCGGTAATTACTAGCCTGCCACCCGATTCCCTGTCTTTCAGTAGTGTATTCTATTTTACAATAAGTCTTTCGTCTACGCGCGTGTTACTGTTCCTTCACTCGAGTACCACATTTGTTTGTAACCTCTTTAAAGATACAACACTAACATTTTTTGTTTGTAGATACGTTGTTCAAATTCATTTCGTTTATTTTTTTTTTTTTTGCCTTAAAAAAAATCCGCAGTACACGAAACACGTCGGCTAAAACTATAGTTTTCCTATTGTCTTTTTTTTTCTTTATATACATATTGTCTTTTTCTAGAGATTAATTCTGAGAATTTCTTTTTACATATACATCTATCTAACATTTAACAAACCCTCAATCCCTAAGGAAATGAAAATTGTTTTTACGATTGAGTAGGTAGAACAATACATCCGCAATCCGCGTCCTGGGTATGACGATAAACTACATCCGCGTCCTGGGTAAGACGATAAACTACATCCAGCAGCAAGGCCTCTGATCAGGAGGTTTTGAGGAGCGTGGAACCACCTCTTAATTGCTGGTGTTTCATGGTCCACCCTGACCTGGGGTGGTAGCACCTGTTAGGGTCCCAGCTACGGGCAAATAGCTGACTCAAAACCCCATGAAAGTGTAAAAATAGATTTTAATACCAGAAATAC